CGATTTTGTTTTGAGCCCTTATTCAGCCCTTAATCAGTTGGGTAAGACACTTTCCATACTTACAAACAGTGTTTCCCGTCACCCCATGACACGCGCATACGGCGCGTATGGTGTTCAACGCCGCTACGTAACGGGATCGACGTTTTTGTTTTTCCGAAGGCCTTCGCTTTCTTCACACATATCTTTCTGAGTTTCTGACCTGATCTGACTGTGGTATCGTTTGCGTTGTGCTTCACTAGGAATGCCTGATAAACATGACTTTCTCCTTTTCTTATTCTCACCCGGATAAAAACAAAGGTGGGCGTGATTCGATTAAAAGTTACTACACGTAGTGCCCTCTACAGCTTAAATAAGCATAATAAGGAATTTAAGAATCTTTAGCGCGATATCTATATAATACGCACGAACGTTTGGAACAACTTTTGGGCTTTATAGTAAATCGGCTGGCTCCGCAAGTCATTGTATGGCATTTTGTCTCCAAGTTTTGTATGCGTTATCTCCTTATCTGGGTCTCTAGGAAACTATAACCCATGCCTTGTGCATTTTCCGTTAAAACAACTTATTAACGGCATGTTCACTCCGCCGCCGTATTTAGAAAGTCCTGACCCGCGCACTGACCTGCATCTAATCTTTCTCATTCGCCTATAATCGTTATCGGAGACTCTGAACGCGGTCTACAGGTTCGCAGGTCACTGTCCACTCATAAAATACGATTTGATCCTTTTTTCGAAATTTAGTTCATGATAAATGGATGATGGTTCAACAAGGAGTGAAATCCAAGAGGGTGGTTATCGCGATCGGTGCACTCTTCTTGACCTGCAGTTTTGCGCTTTATTTGACATCTTCTGATCCTCCCACGGTAAGTTTTAGTCTTATTCTTCACTTTTTATGAAGAAAGCCACATTTTTGTAGAAGTGGTCATTGAATGGGATCATTTCCATTCCGTTCCATTCCCTGCTGCGATTCCGAATTTTGTTACCAATCTTTCTTTATTCTTTGTCTATTATTTACAAGAGGGAAGGGGGAAAATTTTTTTGCTTTTCGACTTCTTCAGCGACTTTTTTGCCCCAAAGATAGCCGTTGTTGACGGAAACCTCAAGCCAATACTCCTGTATCCCTGTATGAACAGAGCCCTCCTTTCACTGCCCTCACCGTCTTCAGAATATGACGTCATCTGTCATCGTCGTCAAGCTCAAGGAGGCCTACCGTAACTGCTTCAGCCTGAAGCTCTTATTTAATTTCTTGAATCGGTTTACTGTAGAATAGTTTCTTAGAGATAGGTCTGGCTGTGCAAACCTCTTTGAAACCCGCTTCAAAACGTCTTAATTGTATAGAATCCGTTGAAGAACTCGTTCTGCTCACCTGTGCACCATATTTCCGGGCAGATTTTTCTGACGTCGTCCACATAGGAGGTCACTATAAACGTTTTCCTATGGAATGGAATGCGCTTTACAGTTTTATGAGAGCATTCGACTCGAATTCAGTGAAGTGTGATTAAATCCATTTGACTTTTTATTGCTCCCTTGAATACTGTAGTAGCAGGCAGATGCGGCTAGAGTTCGATAGCGACAAGCCAGCAGTTGGGGCAGACAATTGGTGGGCTGTCAGAGAGACGAGAGGTTGGAAAGCCTTGCCGGGCTGTTAAGGGCGCGTCCTTCGCCCGCGAAAGCGCCACCCTCCTCGAGGACCAATGGCAGAATTTTTATGGTAGACACATTGGCCCTTCTTCAACACAACATATCACTGTCACTTGCCTTAACATGGCCGCTTTCACGATTGCAGGAGGTCGTCTTGCCGAGTGTTTCACCCAGATCTCATTCTCCCCCACCCCTCCGTTAACGAATCCTTGGCGTGGAGTATGGGAGTGGGCCGTATATGGTACAGCATTAAGGGTATTTTGGAATACGGAAGCTCTGACAATTTCTCGAAACACGGGCGTATCCTTCCCCCTAGTCCGACATTTTGAGGTGGCTCCTCCCATCGATAACGTGTGATAGGTCCCCGGCGTGCAGGACGGGAGGAACGGTGGAGGGAGAAGTGGGGTTTCCGGTCCAATCATGTGTACTCTGGAAGCGGCAGCGAATGGAATCGTAGGTTGAAATGGGAATGAATTTTCCAGTCTGCAAAAATGACAAAGCTATGTTACCTAGACCCATGCTGAAAAATGTGACACAAGGAAAGCCTAGCAGATGAAAACCGTGTTTGAACTGAAGACTACTTTGTGTGGGAGTAAGGTCATCCAACGGGTTCATTCCTTCAATGCTCTATTCCATCACTGCCATTTCAAATTTCATTAAAGAATTTTATTAAATTAAATTTTCTCCGTACGCTAACGAGTTTTCAGGATGTCTTTGCTGCATCTAAGGCTTTCTGAGCCTTTAATCCTTTGCAGAGCTAAGGGTAGTCCACTTGCCAACAGCTGCAGCTGCGCTGAACAAATTCATAAGATGGCAGAGAAGAGGTTTACATATGTCTTAAAGGCAATGTTCAGATAATACTGTTGGATGATCCGCCGGAACCGCAATGTCGGTGCGAACTGGATGGAACTCTCTACGACTTCTGCTATCATCTCCCACCAGAACCACGAACTATAGGACGGCGATTTGACTGCGCCAATGCTGTGCACTTGGAACGTCTAGGTATCACTGATTTTTCATATTCAACCTATTGCAATTAAAGTAGCAATAATAGTCCTTCATTTTCAATTTTGTTTCCTTTGAAACTGGCTGTTCAAGACAGTTCACGAGGGATTTATCAAAGGGTGTGAGCTTGTGAGGATTTCACGATAAGAATAAAGGTCAAGAAGGGGAAAATTGCCTAGTTGGGAGACAGGCGGACCTCCTGAGGGTGCGGACCGACGCGCAATTGGCAGCGAAAGATTTGACCTCGGCGATCTAGCATGGCTCACTCTTGGCGCAGTTGGCGCGGTACGCCCACCGACATAGCAGAGAGAGCGTTAGCGTTGAAGAGGGCACGATGAGAGTCGCATCAATGCGGAAATCAACGGGCAAGGAAGGGGTCCCATTTCTCGGGTTCTGGGCCGTTTCTCATGGTTTTTCCTTCTTTCGTGTACCACTCACCATCCTAGGTTAATTTGAAATGGGTTGCCTTTTCAGCGTGAATTCGTCCTTTAACGCGAACATTGTTCTTCGGTGGGAACTCAAAGCTGTGGTAAACAAAATATTGAGAGCTGAGTTGAAGGCAGTGATCACAATTGCATTGTGCAGGGTGGTTTGATGACGCCATTTGGCAGTCAGGGTTAAGAGACAGTCTCAAGCACACTTCCCATCACGCTAAGGGTCTAGTTCACCAGTAACGCTCAATGACGTTAGCAGCGCCCTTGTAACATGTTATGCTCGCCTCTGAGATGATGCATGGTCATGTAAGGCCGATGTCAGACTTTGCGAATCGCGCGATTCGCTAGCGTCCGCGGTCGCGTTGCGGTACCAGCCAATTGAGTGATTCACTGGCCGCGACGCGACCGCAGACGCTAGCGAATCGCGCGATTCGCAAAGTCTGACATCGGCCTTAACATAGCTTCCAGAAAGGCACAAATCCTTCGAGTAAAGTCTCGCCTTATATACGTTTTGCAGATCTAGATTAGTCTGAAGCCTTTTTCAAATATCCAAACTTTTTGAGAAACAAGGCTTCGAGGCGCTGTAACAGGGATGTGGCGAGAGGTCGAAGGGCTCGGTTTGAGTGGGAAAAATAGTGCAAGAAAAAAGGTTCGAGAAGACTTTCGACTGCAAATGTAAATTGTATACATGATTTTTTCAGGACTCCTGTCCGCGGAGCACATCCTTGACGTGAAAAAAGACGAGTTTCCTGAGCCGGTGTTTGTCACGGCGATGTCTGACAATCATTTCAAAGAAGGGCTAACATTGGTGAGTGGTGTCAGCATCAAAGAAAGCAAGGTAAAATATGCGTGGAATCGTGTAGCCACTGCTTCCGAGAACCACGATGCCCGTCGCTGCAGACCACACTATGTACATGAGATCCTTCTCATAAAATGTAATGTTCGCTCACAAATGAGATGATAGCCGATGCAGTTGTATATTATGAGTTGTCACCAATAACAATTATCATTTACCACCAATCAGCTGTCACTATGAACCACTAGTTACCAGATTTATTTGGAGGCAGTCGTCATTTATGGTGTGTGGTCTGCACCCGACGCGCATCTGATTTTCAAAAGCAAAGTGTGACGGGTGGCAATGACCCGAAGAAAACATCTACACGCCATTTACATTATCATGTCTCAACTATAGCATCATCTTATCGAGATCAAGTGATGAGTAAGATCAACGACATACTATGAATGTGAGACGTGCAGCCTCTCTAGCGCTTCGCCATATTTCCGACTCTCAAGCACAAAGCAGCCCGATTAGCACCAGTCGCACAAAAGAGATTCTGCAGAAAGATATAATGTCGAGAATGTAAATAGTACCTTATGTCAAAGAGCGAGCTCCTTAATATGCCAACGAACTCGGCCGATTCCGCCCGTTCGCGAACACCATGCGCTTCTGCCCAATCGCGCGAGTATGTTGGACATCAAGGCGCGGTGATGCTCGTCTCATTGCGAAGAGTATGCCCTCAGCCTAGCAGGGCCATACCTACGTCACCGGCGCACCCCTGCACACTTGTCGATAAGTACTAACCTCTCACCATCTGACTAGCTGTTTAGCCGAGACAGCACTAGCATTGAAGAGGACAGCACCGTTGAGAGTCGCGTAAATGTGGAAATCAATGGCAAAGAAGTAGCTCCCATTCTCGGTCCTGTTGCTCATAATTTTTGACCCGCTGACCGCCTCTCCGTCAATTTCTGAAGCACCTTTTATCCGCCTCTGATCAGTGATCTAGGTATAAGAGGAATGGATCTAATTCTGCTTGTAGCAGTTGCTCGCCTTACAGTGAGTTCCTCATTGGCCACGCGTATTGAGGTAACAGACTAGAATAACACTAATCCTTTATTCGATCCGGTAGGGAGGAAGAGTCAAGAATTAGGCACCGGTCTTCTTCCTCCTGTTGGGTGGCAGGTAGCGCTGTCCGTCCTGACTCTTGAGCTGGATCCGCGGAATACAGACCTCCAAGGATCGAGTATTGAAATAGAGAGCCGAACCGTGTCTATTGAAGTAGTAGACGGAGGTAACTAGGAGCTCGACCTGAATACTGATACTAAGTCTGATGATGAAGACTAGAAGCTCGACCTGAATACAGACCTCAGGATCGAGTATTGAAATAGAGAGCCGAGCAGCGTCTATTGAAGTAGTCGGCTGGAGTGGTAGCCAGGAGCTCGACCTGAATACAGAAATAAGTCTGTGAATACCAGGGACGAAAAGGGCTAGAATGGTACCCGCCTGGGGAAGGAAGCACGCTCCGCAGTGGTGCGAGCTTATCGGCGGGGAGATCGAAGCCGCGGAGACAGCCGAGACGGTTCGCCTCTTCTATTGAGGCGTTGACGAGTATTGATGGTATTGACTGCCAGACCAGAATTACCGGATAATCTGTGGGGATGGAGTCCCGATGAATCTCGATGAAAATCTCGATGGAAATCTGCCCAGGGGTAATATGGCGAAGCTTTTATACAGCTACGATACGTGCACATCGAATCTGTAAAACTTGTGAATATAAACATATTTCTCCCCAAGATCCTTATGTTTTGAGAAGTGAGATTTCCCATGAATTGCTTAGCCCAAAGGAATGTAAACACCATTAGCACTTGCCTGAATCTATGGAAGAAGTCGCCTTTTGCGACACTTCTGACGTTCACCTAACCTTTGTTCAAGTTTCCCAGGCTACAGATATGAGTAGATTGATGAATTGCACTCAATTATTTGAGCATGCGTTAACGATTGCAAGCCATCGTGACTGTGCAAAATGCATTCGAATGTTGACAAGTTTCTGGAATGAAGTCGGGGTCGCGGCTCACTCCTGAGCCATTGAACTTCTTTCATTTCAATTCCATTGCATTGGTGGTTGCACCGATTTCGTTACAAAAACACTCCAACCACAACCATTCCATCCTTCGATGTATATTTCCAGATTGCAAGTATTCGGAAACTATGGCCACAAAGGAAAATCCTTATCTATGACCTGGGACTGAGTTCGCGGTCACGCAAAGAACTGGAAGTATGTGGCAATAATTTTGGTGTTTTCACCTTTCTCAACGATTGCAGCGATGCTGCAATGCATTAAATTTTTACTTTCAGGTGAAATGCCTTTTGGAAATCCGCAAGTTCCCATTTGATAACTTTCCACCCTATGTGAGGAACTTGGGCGACTTTCGATGGAAGCCTCTGATTATTGCAGTTCGTTTGCTTTTCATAATGGCACATCACTTCACTTCAGGTATTCCAAAGATACGACATCAGGAGCACTGGCAAATACCGACGCTGCTACTTACATGGTGCGCAGAATAAAGCGCATTTGGGGCAACCAAGCCTTCCACTTTCGGTCAAATGATTCCTGTCATAGTGACTCAATAGCACTCAATAGAATAGGCTGACTCGCACATAGACTCGACCCCGTAGTTCATTATACAGACCAAATGCGCACATTCGTGACTATGCTACCCAAAAGAGAGGCAGAATTCGAGACACGTCCTGAAAGGTTCTATTTTTGAGGGTGCCTCCATGCTGAAGAGAGCTAGTTGTTCCGCGAAAAGGTAAACCTTTCGCAGCCGCATTCATGTGCTGAAAGCTCCTGACAGTAGCGCAATGAGCTTAAAGCGTGGGCCTAAAAGCGCTCATCAGGCTGTTATCCCCACCCTAGAACTGATGATGTTTTACTATCTGAGACTGGCTCGCTCATTGCTTCCACTGGCCGGCACCCTGTCTTCTCTTCAACGTAAGATCGCGCATTGTTAAAAAGCAGGTGGCTTTATCATGCAAAGTTTTACTAGGTTGTCATAAGTAGCCTTGTTTTTTCAAAGGGATATTTCTGCCAAAGTTTCAAGTTCTCACT